CCTTTTTTTTTTTTTTTTTTTAGCATTTTGTCACATTTACTTTATGAGTATATTGATCAGTATATGCAATATCTTTTCTTAATCATTTAAGTTATCCCTTAATATTTGATCATGAACTTTCAAAGAATAAGGATATACATAACAGTATAATCATCAAAGAAGTCTAATATTGATAAGCTAATCTGTAGTTTATATTATTCCAAGTGTTACTGCTAATGTCTTTTGTGCCAATTCTTTCCCTTACCCCATAGAATACAGCCCATGGAAAAACTTTATTTTTAAAGCCTCCCTTAATGTGGGACAGTTATTCAAGCTTTATTTTTTCACGACATTGACACTTCTGTAGGTTTTACTGAATATCTCAATTTCTCATTTTGTTCACAGTGGCATTTAGATTTTGGATTTGGGGCTAGAATACTACACAGTGTCATAAATCTCAAGTACTGAGTCTAGAGTCACCTGTCCATTTGTGCCTTAGTGACATTGGTGACACTAAAATTTGATCACTTGGTTGGGTTGTCTAGTTTTTCCACCAGTCACTTTAACCGGTTTGTGGGGAGAAACTTTTTAAATTATGTAAGCTGGTCTTCATAAGCTTTTTTCTGTCTAAATTTGATATCTGCTGATGGTTCTTGCCTTCTATTTTTACTGTGTTTGTAAAATTGTGATTCTTTAACTCCATAATTACTCTTATATTTATTAGGTGGCAGTTTTCTGTTAGTAGGAATTTCTGATTCATTTATCTTTTATTAGTGTGGACTTATAGATCTTATTTTATTCAGTGGATTATAATTATTTTGTCCATATTCATTTTGCTGCTCAAATTTTTCAAAGTGTGAAGATATTCAAGCTGGCTTCTGTGTCCTTTTAATATGTAGTATTTCACTTTTTTAAAGCATTCAGTAGGAATATTTCAGTCTCAATTTACCTGTAGTCTGGCATTATGTTAAATTTTAGGAGCACTCTTACTTTAAATCTGTCATTTTTTAACTTTATAATTCAGCTCTAATGACAATCTCGTTTCCAAAATTTATGTGAGAAGCTTCATATATAATTTCTACATTTTGTTAATGACCAAATTTGGTTAACAAGAGCCTTGCCTTCCTTAATCTGTACTCGCTCACTTGGACAAAAAAATGCTCAAATCTGTTGGCCTCAAGGGTTGTATAAAATCTGCCTGTTTTTACCTTTGCTCTCCCTTGATCATACTATATTAATTTTCACCCTTGAACCCTTGTTCATAGTGTTATTACTTGAAAATTATTCCTTTGCCTCACTAGCAATCTAAAACCTTTGAAGAATCAGTGTCTCATATAGCATCTTCCTAGGTTCTTCCCTCTTCTGTACTCAGCTCGGTCTGCATTATTCATTTTTTTGTTGTTTTTTTTTCTAACCATGTATTACTTAATGTTAAATCATTTTATAAAACCTTATCTATTAATGTATTTAGCATGCACTACATACTAGATGCCAGGAGTTATGCTGTGACCCCCTCAGTGATGGGATTTACGTATAGGAAAGTGCAGTATATGCTCCAGTGGGATACTTTTCAGTGTGGAAATTACCTTGGAACTCATGAACCAAGTCTTCCCAGAGGCAAACATGAAAAACCAAACCAAAAAGGTAGTATTTGAGCTTCTTTTCAAAGGAAGAAACACTAGGAAAAATTCTGGGGGTTAGGGGAGATGATTTGACATCTTCAGCAGAGGGAATAGCACACATTTGTGGCCACATGATGTAGTTGGTTCAGTACTATGTTTAGAGAATTTCATGCAGTATAAAGTGTGATAGGATATGATATGAAACTGAGAAGCTGGTAGATTACCTTGTGGAAATTTCATTTACTCAGATGTAGAAAGGGGCCAGGGATTTAGCTGAGTTCGATCCCTGGTACCAAAAAAAAAAAAAAAAATTTAAGCGAAGGATTATCATCCAATCAATAACAGTTAAGATTAGAAATGAGAACATCAGTTGACCATGGTAGCGCATGCCTATAATTTCAGGCACTGGAGGCTGGAGGATTGCAGGTTCAAGGTTAGCCTGAGCAATTTAGTGAAGTCTTAAAGTTTTAAAAAGCCAGGGATGTAGCTCAGTACTTCCTGGGTTCATTTCTCAGTACTGCAAGAAAAGATCATTTAGCTTACTATATCATCCAGTTTATCATCTGAGGAAGCCAATCATGGGAAT